TTCTTCCTCTATTTGTACAGAGTTATTGGTGGATTTCTAACCTATTAATGATTCATGTGATAAATTTATTACAGAATATGAACTTAGACACTCTGCAGTTCCTCTTTTGTTGCAAACCATATAAAATGAAGTTTCTTTTTTAAGTGTAACACACAGAAACACATAAAACCTTTTGTGCTTTCAAAAGTTTAGAAACCAGCAACGTTGTTTTGACATAATTTCAGGTTAACTGAGATGATTACATCATATTTGAGTTTCTCTGTGATAATCGATAAAGCACATCCTGACATTATGACTTCATTCACAACACATCAATTCAAAATATTATTTAAAACATCGACTCCACTTCAGTCTGCTGTCAGTGTTGCAGCTTAGTTAATGAAACAAACTACAACCATGTTCATTTAGTGGACGTCCCCCTGAGGCAGCATGGTGATGCTGTTGTCTGAGTGGAAGAAGGTGCTGGGTTTGAATCCAGCCTCCATCTTTCTGTGTGAGCCAATCACATTCTCTCACAGTTTCTACTCTCAGCACCTTTGCTGTGAGCCAATCAGTGAAAGGATAGATTTGTGATGCCTTTGTGCTAAAAGCAAAGCCGCCATCTTCTTTCAGTGCAGACTGACACACTAACCACAAGCAAGAAAGCCGACATGTTCTCATCAGTGTTGTCAGACTCATACCATAACACCTTTACTGATAAAGCACTTTAATATAAACCAGGGTTCACAAATGTATGTTGTTCATATATAAATAACATAAACAGAAAATAAAATCATATAAAATAGGGTCACCCTCTTAAAAGAGTGCCAAAGACATCAGCACATAAACGTGCTTAAAGAAGCGTTTTAAATTCAGAAAGCAAAGAGGCCAACATGGCTAACATGGAAGGATCATTGCACAACTTCGGAGCAGCTGCAGCAAAAACGTGGTCACCTCTAAATTTGTGCTTAGTTTTTGGCACCATAGAGTTCATAGTTTCAGGCTGAGCCAACAACAGGAAGTTTCTGCTGCGGTTTTACTGAATTCTGTTTGCAGAAATTAAAATAAAAGGTTTTAAAATTGTGTAAAGAACAGTTTGAGAGGCTGAAAACACTGTTTGGTCTGTTCAGCCTTATTTATGCGACGCATTAACAACAAATTCATCCTTTTAGTTGTGCAACCTTTAAGGCACAAATAAAAGAGAAAGAGCTGCTCCAGTGTTACAGATCACATGACCATCCTCGGGATGCTTTAATCCAGAAGTGAAGAAGAGCAGCTTTACCTCTCGTCTGTGATCGTTTGTTCTTGTCTGTGATGATTTTTCCATAAGTGACGTCTTCAGTTCTCACTGCTGAGTTAACTGCAGCTGGATCAGTGTCTGCACAGTAAAACACACACAGAGGACGTCACTGCAGACAGAACAGCTGAGAACAGACCTGAAACTGCTGCCACTCACAAATCTTTATATGAAACACTCAGAGAGTTTTCAGTTACTGCTCAGGTTATTTTAACTTCATGTTAAAATAGTTTAACATGAAGTTAGAATAATGTGAGATAAAGGAGCAGCTGAATGAAGCTGTGAGGAACCGAATGTTAGTTAATTGCACAGAATATTAAAGAAGAGAGTTTTTAAGTATATTTTCATATTTAGTAAATATGATAGCAGTCTTTCTGTCAGAGTTTAAAGAAATGCTCTTGATGATAATAACAGATTGCATGTATATAGCGCTTTCTAGGCACCCAAAGCGCTTTACAATTCGTTCACTCTAACATTCACACACTGGTGAAGGCAAGTTACAGTGGTAGTCACAGCTGGGGCAGACTGACAGAAGCGAGGCTGCCATATCGCGCCATCGGCCCCTCTGGCCAACACCAGTAGGGTGCTGCAGCCACTGAAGGAGCTGCTCAGGGATGACAGCTTAGCCACCATTCTCCCTCACTCACCACACTGGAAGTCTACCAACAGCTCCTTGGTTTCATTAGTGCTGATCTGGAGGTAGTTCAGCTGGCACCAGTCCACAAAGTCTTGGGTCAGACCTCTGTACTCCTTGTCGTCCCCATCAGTGACGAGGCCGACTATTGCAGAGTCATCAGAGAACTTCTGCAGGAAGCACTGGGTGGAGTTGTGGGAGAAGTCTGCAGTGTAGATGGTGAAGAAGAACGGAGCCAGAACCGTTCCCTGTGGGGCCCCCGTACTGCAGACGACCCTGTCCGACACACAGCCCTGAGTCCTCACATACTGTGGTCGGTCGGTGAGGTAGTCCAAAATCCATGTAGTGCGTTGATGGTCCACTCCAGAGTTCACCAGCTTGTCCTTCAGGACTGTGGGAAGAATGGTGTTGAAGGCACGCGAGAACTCAAAGACCGTGATTCTCACAGTGCTCCCAGCGATCTCCAGGTGAGCGAGGGAACCATGTAGGAGGTGAATGACGGCATCATCCAATCCAGTGCCAAGTAAAGCCGTCTTCCTCTGAGCACCAGCTTTTCTATTGGTTCAAACACAGAGGTGGAGGGCTACGTTTTTTCTTTGTGAAAAGACAAATTTAAAAAAAAACATTCAAACATGAAACTTTTATCTAGAAAAGCTAAAAAATGTATCATTGAGTAGTTTTTCAACATAATTTGAGTTTTTGTGGTAAATATTTATATGTACTTATATGCCACAATTTTACTCTCTTAAGTGCTTTCTGTCTAACATTCAAACTGATGGATGCATCAGACAAAAACTTTTGTATGTTGTCCAAGGATATTTGGCATGCAGACGGGAGCATCAAGGGATCAGTTCACAAGCTTTATAATTAGTGGATGATCTGCTCTACCTCCTGAGATGAAGCCACTCCAGGAATGCCAACAATTATCCATCTGTTTAATGGAGACATAAATTGCCCCCTTGTGTCAACATCTTGTAGTTTGGTTAATGAATAAATGTATTCGCTCCCACATGGTTTATTTATGGCCACTAGAGGGAGATGTTGGACTTTAAAGACTAACATGGATATAAACAGATCATCAACATGCCGTTAATATTTTGTCAATAATAAAATGACAGTAATGTGATTACAGTAACAGTAATGTGATTACACTCACCAGTGTTAGTAATGAACAAAATCACATTAAAAAAAAATCACCACCATCTGAACATTTATTTATTCGATGGACTTTATTGTTACCAAACAGAACTGTTCTGGACTCACACATCCAAGTTAATAGCGCCAACATGTACAGATAAAGAGCAACAAATCAGAAGTTCACCTACTGCACTGATTCTTTTATGTGCAGCAGGTTTTAAGCATGACAGAGATTCTCTGCTACGAGCGAGTTGTTAAGCCGCACACTAGACAACACTATATACCACTAAACAAAGCTCCGACTGTGGGTCTTAATGTTATGGACATGTGCATATGTTATTTGGAGAATGTATAAATATTGTTGTACTTGATTCTAATCTGCTGTCAAGTCTCATATGCACAGAACAAACACCAGGTAAAGCTGTTCAATCAATAAAACTAATTTCACCTGAGACAGACTGAAGTGATTTACACATCTCTGTTATCAGGCTGTGGGACATAAAGTTTAATGTTTAAAGGGGTCCAGTGTAAAGATCCACAGCTCTAATGTGCAG